TGTCTTACTTGGAACTTGGTTAACTTCTTTCCTGAAACACAGTCAATGACTGAGAGTACCAAAGAAAAACTATGAAAGTATATTCTATGAACCTTGCAAGAGTTTAATAAAAAAACTGGAAATTATTTTCTGATTGGAAATAGAATTGGGAATAAAATCACAACAAAATTATGATTATTAGCATCTTATTGTGAAATTATAATACATTATATGTTTACATAATATACAATATTACATAATAAATAATAAATGATATTAATCTAAAATTATATTGTTATTATAATGTCCCTCCAGTCACATCCCCCTCTCTCTCTAGTACATAAAAATAAAGTGCACATTTTCACTTGAAAGAGCTTCAGTGAAACCACTATCCTTAAGTGAAAGTCAGATTTCTATTAAGATAAAATGGTAAAGAGTTTTAGTTTAAAAAGAGAATGTCTAAAGGAATGTTCATTTGAAAAAAAATATATGCTGGAGAATATAGTAGAAGTTTATGGCAAGCTCACATCTGTGGGAGATGAGTCTAGAATATGGAAAAACAGTCACTCCCAGCTGAGTTCAGGACAGAGCTCTTTGGTCATGGACAGAACAAGGACAATAATAATAGTAGCAACAACAACAATGGAATTTACTATGGCCATATTTTATCTGAAACTTTTTAAAAAAACCTCTATGGTAATAAATGGTATCTGAAACCAGAATATTCATTGTTAGAGAACATTCTCTATTTTGTCAATAACTTAAGAAGGAGAAAAAGGATTCCATAGTTTTAGCTTCCTTGTAGAAACTTTTAAGTACTCTTTTTCCTCTAAATAAATAAAGCAAAATATGAGTAAATCCCCAAGGAGGCCCTGGTCAGATCTGTTTGGCACCTTCCAAAACTTTGTAATTGGGATTAGGTGACTCAGAACCAACATTCTTTTATAACAATATTATTAATTAACTTCTTTTGATCCAGAGTCCCAAGAGCTGTTTTCATCTAAATCTCTAGGGCAAATAAGCCCAGAAAAAACATGGTTCATCCAATAGGGGGAAAAAATAATATAAGAAAGGAAGCATACCAGAGAAAAGGAAAGAGGTAAACTCTTTAAAATATCCAAGTCATGTTAATCTGGTGAGACATTTAGAGTACTCAAGAGCATTTAGTAAAAACTTCCATAAAAAGATACTGTAATAACCATGAAAGCAGGATGAGATTCCAAAATAATTTCTGAATTCCCTTCTCTGAGCCATCACTTGGTGAGTACACCTAAGAATTCCACATTAGCCATATCTGGTTGAGTTACTCATATGAAATTCTATGTCCAAAAAACCTAGTTAATTTATTTTTAAATAACTAAAATGATTGAAAATTAACAAAAGGGAAATATGTAGCCTGCCTAAATGGAGAAAAACGCTTGAAGGTTGAGAATAATTAATTTTCTAAAATTTTTAAATGAAAATCATGGAAAATCTACTTGAATTCTATTATGACTAATTTATTTCTATAACTTTTCAGTTCACTTTCTGTAACTATAACATTCTGTACAAAAATAGAATGTAGAATTTATGTTGTGCTAACTCACTGGGATGTTATGGACTAAGAATATCTAAATAGTAGTGATGTTTGAAGGATTGTCATGGCAGAATAGGTTAACATTTTGTCTGCAAGTCCTGTATGTACATAAACATATTTTTGGAAATATGAAAGACATATTCCCACCAGGTACAGTGGCACACGCCTGTAATCCCAGTGTCTCTGGAGGCTGAGACAAGGAGGGTCATGGGTTCAAAGCCAGCCTTAGCAAGAGCAAGGCACTAAGCAACTCAGTGAGATTCTGTCTCTAAATGAAATACAAAATAGGGCTGGGGACGTGGCTCAGTGGTTGAATGTCCCTGACCTCAGTCCCCAGTAACCCCTCCCCAAAAAAGACATCTTCCCATTTCAGATAGGAACTTTAAACTCAGCCAGTGCTGAGGCAAGATAGTAAATTATGAGTCACTGATGTCATCCAAGCAGCAGCTGGATGGTTGTGTGTGAGGCTGCTGACCAGAAGGATCAATATTGGAGTTAGCTAGATGAGTGATCTAGTATGGTTCATTTCATCTTTGACAGATATTTCTATGGGTTAGAAATAGAAATAGAATTAGCAAAAAAAATTCAAAGTACAATGTTTGGAATCAATTTTGCACATGTAATAAAGTTCAAACCTCTCACTGTGTCTGCATATATAAAGCATGTTAAGAGAATTTTACATTATCTTATGTAATCGGTGAACTGTAAGTATTCTTTTTCATACATAGTTTATTTACTAATATCATATTACTTTTGTTTAAATTTACTTTTCTATATTTTGTCTCTTCAATCTGTCAACATGCTTAATGTATCAGATACTAATCTAGAGGGATTCAGGCCACTTATACATTAAAATATTCCTCAGCTACAAATTAAACTTTTCATCATTTATTGTTACTTATTCAGATAAGAAACAGTGAACTTTAATTGTTCATTTCCTTTAAGTGCATTTCAATCTTTTCTGAATGGGATTGTATTTTTAACAAGAATCTCTTAGGAATTGTCACACATGCAATTTAATTTAAACCTTATAGAAGCTCATTTGAAAGTCATAATTATCTTCATTTCTCAGATAAAAAAGCTGCAACTCCAAAGTGAAGATTTAATTAAATATAACAGAGATGTGGTAAAAACTGGGATTGAAAACAATTTTTTAAGCTCTCATTAATCTAATCAACACTTAAATCTTAAAATATAAAATTTGTCTTGTGGAACAACTTCATGGAAAAAAAAATAATACAGGATCCACAAAAAACAAATAACAGAATGCCTCATAAAGAAATTTCACACATGATTGCCTGTGCTGTTACATTGACATGTGCATCCATGATTAACAGCATCTGTGCAATGATTTAGAAAATCATTTAAAAGTTTGTTTACTAGAGAATAAAAACAGAATCTTTGAGGTGATCAGGAGTTGAAAAGCAACTGATAACAGGGCCCTAAGTCAATGATTGGACCTTATAAACGTAGAGTCCAGCTTTTTAATTTTTCAGATGAGAAAACTGAAGTTCCAAACTTAAAGACAATTTTTTTAAAAGAACAAAGTACTTTAATTCTATTGCAGCATCCGCTATCAGGGCCTAACTGTGATCTAGAACTATCACCTCAGACAAAGAACCTGTAGCAGACCCATAGAGACTTTAGCATAACCAACCACTCTGGCAAGCTAAATTCTAAAGCCAAGTCTTTCTTGGGGTTTTAAGTTGAGACAGAGATAGTGAGGTCAAACATTCTATTCTCAAAAATGATTATCTATAATTTTTTGTGGAACCTGTATTATTAATGAAACAACTGCACAAAGATTTGTGTCAAAGAATATTTATTTGATCACTATACAAGCAAGAAATATAGACCATCTAAATTCCAAACACTAAGCAACAAGCTAAATATATCACACTATATGAGCCCTTAAAAATGATTGTTCTGGCTTCTAGTACTTGACATAGAAAGATGATATATTATAAAATTTTTAAAAAGTAAAACACAGAAAAGAGGAAGAAGGGAGGAGTTAGTTATAAAATGGTACGCCAGTATGACTAATTTGGGATACATTGTTATGTAATTTGACCTTCAAAATAATCTGGAGATAATATGCACCAAAATGTTGTCACTGGAGCCAAGTGATGGCTGCACACCTATAATCCCAGCAGCTCAGGAGGCAGGAGGATTGCAAGTTCAAATTTAGCAAGACTGTAAGCAGTTTAGTAAGACCCTGCCTCAAAACAAAAAATAAAAAAGGGCTGGGGATGTGACTCAGTGGTTAAGTGTCTCTGGGCTCAATCCCTGGTACCAAAAACAAACAAACAAAAAAATTTCTCACTGTTATCTCCAGAAGTTTGATTTCATGCTATAATTTTCTGAACTGAAGGTGTCTTTCTTGTAATAGGACAATACCTTTTAAAATAAAAAAAAATAAACCAGGAAGCCAAATTTTTATCCTGGAGGAGAAGTGGGAAAAGGAAAATGACAATCCCTCAATTGGTAGCAAAGTGGGGAGCAGCTGCTGCTGAGTCATCTATTAAGGAGGAGCTAAGTGAAATGTAGACAAAGAAAGCACCGAGGACAGAGTTACTGTGCATATACTTTTAACCTGAAATGAGGAAATCTGCTAAAAAATAATTTCTTAGATTATAAAGAACAACTGGATGGTCTTAAGGCACAGTTCTAAGATTGCAGCTGATCAAGCAAATCAAGTAAGCTTAATTAGCTCTACTTTACCTTCTTGGGTATAATTTATATCTCTCTGATTTTATCATACTATATAATATCTTCTCAAGTAATCAAGCAGATGCATATAACATGTTTCACAGAGCTTATCTAGAGACAAGATATTCATTATTCCCTTCCGAGGTGACATCTCCAGTGATCAATAGGAACCATAAGCCATTGTTCACTATAAACATCTCTGTACTATTTTCATAGTTCTATATGCACTAGAGAAAGGACATAAAACCTGACTCTGGAGACCATCAAATAGAGCAAACACAAAATGAGTCTTCACCTCTCAAGACAGGTCACAAAAATTGGGGAAAAAATGGATAAGACTTGAAAATATCAAAAAGGAGTCCCCTCTCAGTAACTGTAAATTCTAGAATAACAGAAAAGAGTTCCAGCGAAAATTTGAATCAGAATTTTGATACATTTTTAGCTAGGAATACAAAACTGGAACAGAAGAAAAAAATAGAAATTCCATTTAGTAGGAGACAATTTTATAACTACAAGAAAGTTGAGAGATTTTTTTTTACCATCTTATCCCTTAATTATGTGGGGAAAAATATATTTAAATAGTATTTTGACATTCCTAAGGCCACACAAAAATGATTTTCAGTAAAGGACTATGTGCCATGACTCAGCTCCTAAAATGAAATGTGCTCAATAATATGTTGTGCACAGATGTTTATCAAATTACCTAAGCTGATTCCCTTTTTCTTCTCTTTTCAGGGAACGACCTACCCACCTTAGGACCATGGCTATGGGAAACGGGAGCACAGTGACTGAATTCACCCTGATGGCCTTCCCAGCTCTCCTGGAGATTCGAATACTCCTCTTTGTGGTTCTCTTGCTAACTTACACATTAACAGCAACAGGAAACCTTACCATCATCTCTCTAATATGGACTGATTCTCACCTGCAAACCCCAATGTACTTTTTCCTCAGTAATTTGTCCTTTCTGGATATTTTATACACCACTGTTGTTACCCCAAAGTTGCTAGCCTGCCTCCTAGGAGAAACGAAGACCATATCCTTTGCAGGCTGCATCACCCAAACATATTTCTACTTCTTTCTGGGGACAGTGGAGTTTATCCTCTTGGCTGTCATGTCCTTTGACCGCTATGTGGCCATCTGTAACCCCCTGCGTTACACCCTCATCATGAACAGCAGGACCAGCTTCCTACTGGTTCTGGGATGCTGGGTGGGAGCTTTCTTGTCTGTGATGGCACCAACCATTGTAGTGACAAGGCTACCTTACTGTAGGAAAGAAATTAATCACTTTTTCTGTGACATTGCCCCTCTTCTACAGGTGGCCTGTATAGATACTCGCCTAATTGAGAAGATAAACTTTCTTCTCTCTGCCCTGGTCATCCTGAGCTCCCTTGCATTCACTACTGGGTCCTACAGCTACATCATTTCTACCATCCTGCGAATGCCCTCAGCCCGAGGCCGTCAAAAAGCTTTTTCTACCTGTGCCGCTCACATCACTGTCGTCTCCATTGCTTACGGGAGCAACATCTTTGTGTATGTGAGACCAAATCAAAAATACTCACTGGATTTTGACAAGGTAGCGGCTGTCCTCATCACAGTAGTGACCCCTCTTCTGAACCCTTTTATTTACAGCTTAAGAAATGAAAAGGTAAAGGAAGTGTTGAGAGAGACAATGAACAGAATTGCGTCCTTGACATTAAGGAAAACTTGACATTGTGTTGAATGCATCACATGATATTTCTTATCTTCAACACATTCATTCTGCATGAACATAGTGGTACATTAATATGCCAGAAAACTGAGACTGTGCCAACAGAATAAGCCATAACATACCAAACCAAAAGAAAACTGCTCATGTCTTGGTTGAAGGGAATCAATCCACGTATTGTCTTGTATATTCATAGCTTAAAATCATGGAAGGTACCCAATGAGGGTTCACAGGTCTCCAGTTCTAATCCTGGCTAAGTCCATTTTATTTTCAGGGACTTTGACCATGTCGCAACTTATCCAAGCCTCAATGTCTCCATCTCCTAATGAAATAATATTACTGTATCACTCTCTGTAGTAAAGCATGTAATGTTAGAGAATTTTAACTTATTAGGCACTCTTAAATATTTTAGGAAACTTAATTTTAACCTCTATTTGCATTATCAAGTAAATATGTGACAAGTGAAGTTAAAAAAAAGAAGTGACCCATGATGATCTAAGTCTCTGGCTACATTTGGTGAAAGGCAGAGATATTTGATGAGGACAGGAACATAGGAGAGGTAGATTAAAGGTGAACATATCAAACTGGAGGTTCGTGAAGAATATCCAAGGAAGATAATAAAAAAGACAATTTTAAAATTAATTTAAGCATGGGTGACCAAAGAGAAGAAAAACCAAGACAGTATGATGCCATGAAATAGGATGAAAGACAAGGGGAAAATCAATGGTTCAAGGACCATGTGTTACCACTATAAGTATCTGTTGCATTTAATGGCAACAGAATCTGGACAACTTCAGCAAAAATAAAATCTAATATAATTTTGTGAGAACGGACCAAAATGAAGTAAGTGTACAGATAAAAATAAATGGAGAATATAAGTGTAGACTATTTTGAGAAGACTGTCTGAGAATACATGCAGTATTGCAATATTAAGGAAGCACAGGTTAAACCAAACATCATTTTTCAGTAGGAGATGTGTTTGCTTTGTATAAAAATTGGTTAAAGTTGTCTAGTAGTGGGGCTCAGCTAAAGCTCTAGGAGAGCAGGGAATGACCCATATGATGGCCTCCCTGGGGTAGTCAAAGGTGAAGAAGACACCTAGAGTACTTGTGAAAGGAGTGTTGTTGGCAGAAGTTCATGGTATAGAATGGTAAATTGGAATGGATGCATCCAGAAGTGGAACCATGTCAAGTAACAAGGTACATGTTGTCATAGTTGTCTTCGATAGATGGTCTAAAGAAGGTCCAAAGTGAATCTCGAAAAGACTTTAGACCCAGGCCCGGTAGTGCATACCTTCCCAGCAACTCAAAAAGGCTAAAACAAGAGGATCACAAATTCAAAGCCAGCCTCAGCATCTTAGCAAGACCCTGTCTCAAAATAAATAATAAAAAGGACTGGGAATATGGCTTGGTGGTTAAGTGCCCCTGGCTTCCATCCTTGGCACAGAAAAAGAAAAAAGACCTTAGAGACTTAATATATGACTTCCTGTAGAAAATTACCAAAAACTAACTAGAATAATGTGTACAGAGTCAAACAAATAAATATATCCATCACTGAGTGACATGATGCACCAGTATACACAAAGGAAATTATTTATTCATTTGCCAAATATTGCCTGAGTGTCTACTACGTACCATTAAACAGAATAGAAAAAAATCCCTTCCCTCAATAAGTTTAAATTATAGTAAAGGGAAAGATACAAGTAAAGTGTAAGGAGGAATTATATGTAAAGCACAAAAGGGGAATATGGAGTTTTTGAGGATGAGTTTCAATTTTAAATAGGGTGGTTAAGAAAGCGCTCTCTGAGGTAATCTCAGAATACAGATTTAAAGGAGGTGAGTAAATGAGCCATGTAGATAGCTGGGACAAAAAGATTCTATGCAAGGAGGACACAGAACCAATGCTGTGGTCAGAGTGAAGCAAACCAGCTCTTGAGTTAAAACAGGCAGTCACTCAGAGCAGAAGTCACCTCAGGGCCTCTGCTGTCTGATTCCAAGGATTGTGCAAGCAGCACACAGGGACCAAGATTATCAACACCCTGACCAGACTGAAAACCCAAACAGCCAGATGACTATACTAGGCCCATAAGGCTAAGCACTGAGCATCAAACACAACCACACACAAGCAATAGAGACTGATTATGTATCCTGAAGTGAAACCATACGTAAATCACCCACAGTGTCCTTGTTCTTCCTTTGATGACTTCCTTTCATAACAAATGTGAGGTTAAAAAGTTTCACTTATACTTTCTTAAGCATAAAACATTGGAAATAGAGCACAAACCAGATGACTTTGTTGATTTGTACAACAAACAATGGTTCTCAGATTCTAATTCCTAGACTGGCAGCTTGAAGATCACATAGGAGCATGTCAGAAATCAAAACTCTCAAGGTCACCCCAGACATCCTCCAATTAAGACACTGGAGGGGAGCCGCAGCAGTACATGTTTCAATATGCCTTGCCGATGACCTTAGAGCAGGAGATAGTTTGAGAACCATGGCATAAGGTCTAAGTAAGGCACCAGATACCAAGAACCCTACATCATTGCTCAGATTCAGGGACACACTTGATTAAATAATGGCAGGAAACCTGTCTTGAAATATACTTGATTTCTGATTTTTTTAAAATCATATAACACAGTATTATTATACAATAATAATATAATTATGATTTTTCAAATCAGAGGTACTTACTTATATGTTAATTTGTTGGTATAAAATAAATATATTTATTTATTTACAAAACTGAGTTTGTTTCTGTCTGTGGAAAAGTACTTTGCTGGAGTACTAGAGATTGCAGCCAAAGTATTCTGTTTTTAATGAGACTTACGCATCTGGTAATGAAATAAAGATTTACCAAAGAGTTCTTAACAGTGTACAAAAGGCCAGATTTTTAGGTCAGTCACTTAAATCTTTTGTGATCTAAGTATGTCTGGTTTTCCCTTTGGTGGAGGGAGCTTCATTTTAATTACACTTTTGTTGTTGTTGTTGCAGTTCTGGGGCATGAACCCAGGGCTTTGTGCATGCTAGGCCAGCATTTTACCTCTCAGCTACATTCCAGCCCTAGTTGTATGGTTTAATCACCATTTTATACCTGACCTGTTGTCCTTGGAAGTCATTGATCAGTCAAGAATTTATTCATAAAAGATGTGTTGAATATACTTACTGAATCATGATCGTGGGCAAGGTACTTAATGTCTCTGTATCTCACTTCCTTATATAACTATAAAATAAATTTCATAATAATTTCTATGTTGTAAGGCTAATGTACAATAAACTTGAAAGCAGTCATATTAGTGCATGAGATAAGAAACACTAAATAGGGATCTCTAACCTTTTCAAGACTCTATATAAGAATCTATAGAGGTGCTGATGATACAAAGATAAATAGGGCATGATCTCCATTCCAAAGTAACTCATATTTTGGTTTGTAAGAAAATGATTCACAAGAAATTTTATAAATAATACATTCTAGAAATTCCCCCTCACTGTACTGGGGATTGAACCCAGGACTAAGTGCTAAGCAAGCACTTTACAACTGAGCTACAGCCATAAATGATACATTCTAAAAACAAAGGACTGAGCTCAGTGTGCACACCTGTAATCCCGGGACTTGGGAGGTTCAGGCAGAAGTCTGAGTTCAAGGCCAGACTCAGCAACTTGGCAAGACTATCTCAAAGGTAAAAAATAAAAAAGTGCTAGGGATATAGCTCAGTGGTAAAACACCTCTGGGTTCAATTCCCAGGAACCCCTAAAAAAATTAAAAACAAAGGGATTAGTACTTCTGATTTTCATCATGATAGAATAATAGAGATTATATTTTATATTTTTAACTTAACCAACTAGAAAAATCACACACACACACACATACACACACACACACACACACACACACACCAAAAAAAAAAGACAACTCTTTACAGATACTGCATAACAGGCAGTGAAAGATTGTGATCCTTGAGATAGGGAAATAAACAAGGTGCCCCATCTTGCATCCTGAATGCAGTTTCCAGGCTCCAGCAGAGGGTAGAGCATACAAACAGGCTGGTAGTTTCTCTGTATCAGAATACAGACAAAGATCAGAGTTTTGATAGGCTATAGTGACTTGAATCTTTAGGGACGAGGATCAGAGATGAGAGAATTGCATAGAAAAGAAACTCTGGAGATAGAGCGTTGCTCCAGAGAATGACTGAATATAGAACTAAGCATGCATGAAAAGAAATTACCAGAAGGATTAAACATATCCACAAGAAATCAATAAACAAAACAATATCCACTGTTCACATTGCTATGGAAATAGTTTGTGTTCCTACCATCCAGAGTGGAAAAATCTTCTAAATAGTAAATTGTAGACCATTAGAGAGTAGTGAGAATAAATCATCCTTGGAGCAAAGAAAAACCTAGATTTTTCCAAAGAAATTTTTAAAACAAGATTTCAAAGGACTTAACTGGTTCACAAATAATTTAAGTGTCAAGGAGAAAAAAGGCTGACATGCATTAAAATAATATTACCAAATTTATAAGAACAATTTAAAATTCACAATATCCAGCATCCAAACAAAAATATCTAGGCATACAAAGAAGGATATTGTGATTCAGAACCAGAAACAAAATCATTAAAAGAAACAAACCTAAAACTGATGGCAATAACAAGCCAAGATTGTTCAAATACTCATGTACCCTAGAAGGCAGAATGTAATGTGATCTAATGACTAAATAATTAATATTGAAAGTGGTTGAAAGCATTTTTATTATATCATTACTGTGAAATGATGGTCACCAAAATAATCATTATAATTATAACCATTCTGTTCACCCTATCCATTCATGACTTTTAGAAGTCTTTGTATTATTTTTAATATTTTTCTAATAACCACTATTCTTAAACAAAGATAGTCATTGTGATACTATATCCTTAAAATATTAGAGAATGGGGGGGTAGGGTTGTGGCTCAGTGGTAGAGCACTCGCCTAGCACATGCGAGGTCCTAGTTTAATCCTCAGTACCACATAAAAACAAATAAATAAAATAAAGATATTGTGTCCAACTACAAGTAAAAAATAAACATTTTTTTAAAAAATTAGACAATGAGCTTTGTAGGAAATATTTTTGCAACATGCATGATCTATAAACAAGATGACTCTAAAAGATCTATACTTGCCTTTGCATGAAGGAAAACTTGTAAGAGGTAGGACCCAATTTCCTCTTGGTCCTCTCTGTGGGGGAATAAATAAAATCCCAAATGTCACTGGATCTTACCCATCTGACCCAGATGAATACTGCAAGTTCTCACTCTTCTCCATGATTACTACCAATTGTTCATTGGCACCCCCAAGAGATAGTCTATATGAACTTATGAACTGCCTTTTAATATCATCTGGCTCTGGTTTTCCACTGCTGATTCACACTGTCATGAAGCCATTTAAGGGCAGAGCTTTCTCACTGTCCCTGCAATCTATTCCCCTTGTAAGAAAGCAAATATCAGTGGCAAAGAAGCTGTCTTTCGATGATATCAATACAGTTCACCATTGAGATAGTAGATAGGTTCCTATGTTTGTTGGCGTCCCTAGTGTGGATAGGGATATCTAGTATATCTTGAGCAGAAATTAGTATCTCAACTTCTCTATCTATGCACAGAATTCAAGGTAGCTTATGCATCATCTCTAAGAATGCTTTACTTTCTTTATAGACCCTTGCTATTTATAATTTTAGAAGTGAATCCACATGGCTCGGTTAGATAACCAATATCTGAAATAGATACTATGTTATGTTTCCCATCTGGTACTTCCCACAGGTGCCCACCTTCACCAGTCAAAATTGTCATAATAAATTAAGTCTAGATTTCTTGGCCCCTCTGTGTGTCACATATTTTTAGCCTTTATCTAGGACCTCTAATGTGCATAAATTAGACAGATTTCATGTAGTATAAGCTGACTCCACAGGGCATGTTTGAATATCTGAGATAACTTTGGTGCTCTAAAAAACTCTCACATCCCTTCCAGCTCATGCAACAGTTCTTTGATTAAAATAGAGAAACTTCAACTACAGAATTGGAGAAAATATTTATAAACCACTCATCTAACAGGAGCTTAATATGCAGAATACACAAGGAACTCAAACAACTCAGCTGAAGAAAATTAATAATCTGATTTGAAAATTGACAAATTAATTGACATATAAAAGATAAAAGATAAACTAATGGCCAAAAAATATGAAAAATGTTCAACATCACTAAACATCAGAGAAATGCAAACAAAAATCAAAATAAGATAGCATCTTATACCAATTAAAATAGCCATTGTTGAAAAGACAAGAAAATAATAAATGCTAGTAAATACATAGATAAAAGAGAACTCTCATACACTGTTGGTGACCTTATAAATTAGCACAATCATCATGGAAAATAGTATTGCAGTCCTTCAAAAATTAAAAATATAACTACAAAATAGCCACGATGGAAAGCAGTATGGAGATTCCTTAGAAAACTTGGAATAGAGCCATCATTTGTCCCAGCTATCCCACTCCTTAGTCTATACCCAAAGGACTTAAAATCAGCATATTATAGTGACACAGCCACATCAATGTTCATAGCAGCTCAATTCACAATAGCTAAACTGTGGAACCAACTAGATGCCCTTCAACAGATGAATGGATAAAGAAACTGTGGTACATACACACAATGGAATATTACTCAGCATTAAAAGAGAATAAAATTATGGCATTTGCAGGTAAATGGATTGAGTGGGAGAATATCATGCTAAGCAAAGTAAGCCAATTCCAAAAAACCAAAGGCCAAATGTTCTCTCTGATAAGTGAATGCTGATCCATAATGGGGGGTGGGGGGATGGAAGAACTTTGGTTGGGCAAAGGAGAGGAAGCAAAGGGAAGGGAGAATAAGGACAGGAAAGATGGTGGAATGAGATGAACATCATTACCCTAGGTACATGTGTGACTGCACATATGATGTGCCTCTACATCGTGTACAACCAGAGAAATGAAAAGTTGTGCTCCATTTGTATACAATGAATTGAAATGCATTCTGTTTTCATGTATAACTTATTAAAACAAAATTTTAAAAAAGAAAATATGGAGATATACACAATGCAATACTATTCAGCCATAAAAATGAAGGAAATCCCATCATGTGTAATAACACAGAGACTTGAAGGACATTATGTTAAAGTGAAATAAACCAGGCACAAAAAAAAACAGATACTGCATGATCTCACTCATATGTGGAATCAAAAAATATTACTGATAATTCTATTCTAAAGAACGCAAAAACTCAAAAACAAAAAAAAAATGAATACTCCAATCAAGAAATGAGCTAAGGCTGGGCTGGGATTGTGGCTCAGCGGTAGAGCACTTGTCTAGCATGTGCGAGGCCCTGGGTTTGATCCTCAGCACTACATAAAAATAAATAAATAAAAAATAAAGGTATTGTGTCCAACTACTTCTAAAAAATAAATATTTTTTTAAAAAAAGAAATGAGCTAAGGAATTGAACAGACACTTCACAAAAGAAGAAATACAATTGACCTGCAAATATATGAAAATATGTTCAACATCTCTAGCAATTAGAAACTATTTTAAGATTTCATCTCACTGCAATCAGAATGGCAATTATCAAGAATACAACCAACAATAAATGTTGGCAAAGATGTGGGGAAAGGTACACTCTTACATTGTTGGTGGGACTGAAAATTGGTGCAACCATTATGGAAAGCAGTATGGAGATTCGTCAGAAAACTCAGAATGGAACCACCATTTGACCCAGCTATCCTACTCCTGGGTTTAAACCCAAGGGAGTTAAAATCAGCATACTACAGTAATGCTGCCACATCATTGCTTATAGCAGCTCAATTCACAATAGCCAAACTATGGAACCAATCTAGATGTCCTTCAATAGATGAATGGATAAAGAAAATGTGGTATATATACATAGTGGAATATTACTCAGCCTTAAAGAAAGGTGAATTTATGGCATTTGCTGATAAATAAATGGAGCTGGAGAATATAATGCTAAGCAAAATAAGCCAATACCCAAAAAACAAAGGCTGAATGTTTTCTCTGATATGCAGATGCTAATTCATAATAAGGGAGAAGGGGGAAGTCTAAGGAAGAATAGAGGTAATTTGGATTAGGCAGAGGGGAGTGAAGGGAAGAGAAGGGGTATGGGGGTAGGAAGAATAGTAGAATGAATTGGACATTATTACACTATGTGCATATATGACTACATGGCCAGTATAGTTCCACATCATGTATAACCAAAAGAATGAAAAGTTATACTCATTTATATATGAAGTGTCAAAATGCATTCTACTGTCATGTATAACTAATGAGAACAAATTAAAAAAAAAAAACCTCACTACCTTTATTACTTTGAACTTTAAGGAAGATCATGATTTTATGTGAAGATAACCAGAAAGTGTGAATCAGTGAAAAGTTGGCCCTAACTTTTTGTTGGTGCCCTTTAATCTTACACTTCTAACTTGAGCATGAAAAGTAAATGCAGAAAGCTGAAAACCAAAGTTCCTTAATTAGGAATCATGTGAGCTACCTAACATTAAAAAAACATTTTAAAAACCATAAAAAATATATTGACCTTATAGAAGTAGGGGGTAGAGCATCTGTTACAGAGGAAGAAGTGGGAGGGGAGGGGGCATTAGGTAAATGTAAGTCAAAGAATACTAATTTTTCAGTGAATACAGGATAAATAAGATCAAGCAATCCATTGCATAACATGGTGACTATTATTATCAATATATTGTACTCCTAAAAAAATGCTGAGAGAATGGATTTAAAGTGTTCACACCACACACACACACACACAAAAAAAAAAAAGTGGTAACAACATAAGGTCATGCATATGTTGATTACCTAGATTAAGTCATTTCCCAATGTAAATATATTTCAAGTCAATATGTTGTACATACATGGTAAATGCATTCAGTTTTATCTGTTGATTTTTAAAAGATAAATTTTAAAAAGAATAGCCAGGATATCCTCAGCAAAAGCAAGGCACTGAGCAACTAAGTACGTCACTATCTCTAAATAAAATACAAAATAGGGCTGGGGATGTGTCCCAGTGCCTCTGAGTTCAATGCCCAGTAGCTCCCCCACCCCAAAAAAAGACTATGTTAAAGCTTAGGTTGTTTTAGTGCTTTGGATGTGAAGAGTAAACCAGTTATAATGTTGTGCTTAAGAATCTTTGAATTCCCTTTTTCGCATATACATATAGCTGAGCTGTAAGAGAAGCCTGGGCTTTCCTACCACTCAAGACAAGTGTCCTTCTCCTGTTACAGTTCCCACACTGAGATATCAATGGTACAAAGGGAAAAGTCATGAAGTCCTTATTATACGCTTGGGGCTCTGGGTTTCAGGGACAAATACTCTGTCCTTTCCTGAGGTGCTTTCCCTTGGAGTCTTTCCATGCTTCTTTATGCCATCAGAGTGGTACAATATCAAGGACCAATCTTAGAGGATGAATCCAAGCTACTTTTAGTCATGGATCTACCTTCCCTAATAAGCAAAAGGAGTTTGGGCATGTCTCACGTCAACCAACCCAGTCCATCAAAGAAACAGATTGAGGTTGGGTTCCAAGGCCAATAATCAGAGGCATTTCTTTTCTTGCCTTTTTCTCCAGAGACTCACAGAACAGCCTGCAGCTGTTGTAGACAGCTGGTCACAAAATTGAGAATGTAGTACCGTGGAACCCAGCCATCTCTCTGTCTGTTAGTATCAACCTTAGAGACAAATCTTAAATTTTTGAGAGAACTGTATTGAGCAAACAGAAGCAGTTATACATTTTATTGTGCCTAGATTATCTCCTGGATAAAATCAATATGATCAGGAAGACTTCAGAGGTAAAATTTAAAACAGTCAGCATCTGCAAAATTCAACAAATCACTTAGCAATTGATTTCCAACTGTCAATCTAGAAACTTCCCAGTTTGGGAGCAGAATCAGGATCAAAGAATAGAAGACTGAAATTCACCTAAAAAAGAATGACTTGTAATAAATTGAAGAAAAACGAATCCTATATCAGGGGTGACAAAAAGTTATTCATGACCCTATTCTCTAAAACTTACACAAGAATTCTCATGTCCATGAATATTAATTAGGCATACATGACATAAACTTTCAGTTAGGGCCTGAGTCACATGGCATGTTGATAGAAGCATAGCTGTACACACTGTTCTTCATTCATAAGAACATACTACAACTACACAGCGCCAGAAAGGGCACTGGCAAGAGGAATACACAGCTGTCCCCTACATGTCCCCTACATATGGACCATATCAGGAATTGGCACACATAAGAGCAACTGACAGGAACAACTGAGACTGATACCAAACTGATGCCAATTAGAGTGGTAAAATATTAACCAGAGATTAATTTTGAGAAACCTAGAAATGGCAAGTGTCATTATGGGTTAGCCTCAGTCCTTGAATGAAACTCAGATATCTTGGGTTCCAGTCAGGCTCCACCCACATCTAAAACATAGTTTTAAAAAAGTCAAAACATTTCTATTTTCTCATTACCTCAATTATAAAATTAAGAGGCTATGTTGTCCATGGTATTAGACTTCAACCAAACCTATAACTGTGTTCCTCAAATATGCAAATAGAGGGCTATTTAAAATAGAGGGCTTGTTTAAAATGCAAATTATAATTCACTAGGTCTTGGGCAGGACCCAATTATGTTGTACTCCCACTAAACTCACACAGGATTTTATGCTGCTTGTTTGCATGTCATATTTTACAGAGTAGGCACTAGACTCTCCCAATTCAATATTCCTAAGAAGTATCCATCTATAAGGAAACAACTAGGCTCTGATTGCCCATTTAGGTAGCAGGATAAGACAGAGAAGTGAGTAGAACAGAGATTACACCAAGCAATTTTTCAGGCACAACTCAAATGTAAAGAACTGAAATCAAAGTTTACCATGCAAGTAAGTATGAATATTTATGAAAAATATCAACAAGTAGAACACTGCTAGGCACATTGGAGCCAGAAAGGAAGAGCAACTCTAAGAAAACTTCATTTGTAAAGTGGGTTGACGCTGCTGATGCTTAAGGAATTGGAAAATGAATTTATCATGGTGACCCAGAGAATACTGGATAGCCCACTATAGAGTATCATTGAAATCCTCCAAGTTAATCAGGAAACTCTGAGTTTCTTTCATTCCTTTTTTTTTCTTTTTTTCTTTCTTTTCCTATTCTTTCCCTCTACCCATCAGGAGAATAAATTTGTGAAAGTTTTCAGATTCAAAATAGAGTCATTTGTTTAAACCCTAACTAAATATTAGGAGAACACGAGGGAAGGGCCTTCATGCATACGTGGCCATGATAAGATCTATTACAAAAACTTCCCTGAAGGGCCCTTACACACATATGTCTGTACTTTTGCCAAAGACTTTCCAAACTGCAGCTTGCTACATGAGTCACAGGATAACCAGCCAGATTGTACAAGAATACTTGCTCAATACACTGTCTCCATTAAGGAGCTGAGGTCAGGCTCCTGTGATAAGCCCCTACAATCAGTGTTCTGTTTGTTTCAAAACAAATTACTTGTGTTTGTCTCTTTTTATTTAAAAGTTTCCCTTTGCCTCAACCTCCCTGGGTACGGCTCCCCAGGGTCCATATATGCTGTATTGCAAGTGCTTCTGCTTATTCTCCCAGTAAACTCATTATCTTTGGAGATTATTGTTCTCTAGGTTGACCAAGTTTAGTTAAGCTGGTACTGCCACAGTACAGTATCAGCACCGATCTGTACAAAACAAGAGACCCTCACCCATCTTAATCCCCCTTCGTCCTTACTTCCCACCACTTACTTTCGTCTCCTGAAAAGCAATAATTGGATGAGTTCTTTTATAATGAGCATTCCAGCTTAGTGTTGACAGAGACAGCTTTAACATTATCCTCAACTTAACAAGACTTTAGACCTAAAGTTAAGAAGAATCCTGACCCGCTTGTTGGATTTTGACCTCCCCTTTTTAGGTATTTTTTCCTTCTTCTGGGACATTTATTTCCATTAATTCCTCAAATATTATCTTCTCCCCATTTATTTTTTTCTCTGTGTATTCTTACTTTTTGCTTTGCTTTATCTTGCTTTGTTTTTTAAATATAATCTGTTTTGTAATTCCCATTGCCTTCTGGAGAATCTCAATGTAGTGCCTATTCAGATATAGTAATCCTATACTTTATTATAGTTTTTAATTTTTATTTTTATATTTTGCATACCAACATTTGTTATTTGGTTCTTGTTTGTGATTTCTTCTTGTTACTGAAAGCTTGGCCCTTGTCCCAGATGCCAATTGAATAATGAGGACACCATTTTGAGAAAAACAAAAAGGAAGTTTTATTGCTTTGCTAGCAACAGAGAAACACAGGGAACTCCAGTCCCAGAGGCTGCC